CCAATATGGCCGAACGCACAAGGCTTTCGATTGAGATTTTTTGGCTCATTACTCAGGACACGTAAATAAAAAAAAGGGATATGAGGAGAATATACAGGGTGGAATTTTTAAATGGAATAAATTCAGTATCAAAAAGCCTGTTTATTTTCTGGAAAAATTGAAAAAAAACGGGTCCCTTTATTTTCAGTTTGGCACATTTTTTCAGCCTTTTCATGGAATTTACCCCTTTTTTAAGGGTAGAAACCACCCCCAACTTTTTTTTTTTCAAATGTAAAGATATGTATTGTGATAGTTCGTTGGAATAGGCATAAAAAACGAATATGACCCATTATTTACTTTTGCATTTCGGTGATCTAGTTATTTGATTATTTTTGACAAAAACACACTATTTTAGGGTTGAGAATCCGAGTATCAGGCATAAAATAGTGTGTTAACGTCAGAAATAATTACATAACGTTACAAATGGGGCTTGTTTCGCATTAGGGTTCTACCAAGAAAAAATGCTGAAGATATTCAACAATTTTAACTGTAAAAAAATTGTTTGGAAGAATATGTTTTCATTTTTTTCTGGCTTTCTAGATCACCCAAATGCAAAAGTAAATAATGGGTCATTTTCCTTTTCGTATGCCCATTTCAACGAGCTATCACAATACATATCTTAACATTTGAAAAAAAAAAGTTGGGGGTGGTTTCTACCCTTAAGAGAGGGGTAAATTCCATGAAAAAGCCAAAAAAATGTGCCAAACTAAAAATAAAGAGACCCGTTTTTTTTAATTTTTCCCGAAATCAAACAGGCTTTCTGATACTGAATTTATTCCATTTAAATATTCCACCCTGTATTGATGAAATAATTTAACAAAACTATGAACGATATAACGAACAGAAGTGACCAAAGCAAAGAATTAGAACAGAAAGAGAAAGAAGTACTAACTTATCCTATCAAGTGTTAGCAAAAACAGCTATACTTACTACAACAGTAGGTACTTAAGAACTGTACAAAATATTTCATGAGTATTTGAAAGGTAAGCTATGTTTGGTAAACATTTTTATTTCACAGGCACCTGCAGTAACTGCTGATTAGAACGTGTTCTAGACATAAATTTAAAGGTAGTAAATCACGTAAAGTCTAAACAGGCAAATTAGTGATCGCGGAAGTCAATCTCAAAAAAGCAGATTTATGTTACATTTATTTTGCTGCTGCTGCTGCCGTTTTACGTTTTGGTTCAGTGGAGCTTTATGGCCATCAGCTAAGTTTCCCTTTCATTTTACTACATTTTCATTTACATTTTTTTTTCTCATGCCGTTGCGATAATGGCCTTGTTATAATGTTATATAACTAGTAGTGCGATTTATACATGCCAGAGATTTTTTCAAATGAATCCAGGTGCTGACGAACGCAGAAAGCTAGAAAATGGCGGCACAACAAATTCTAGATTTCAGGGTTGATGCGATAGAGCCTTTGCAGGGCAAACTTTACGGGCTCCAGATAATATACATTGTAGATGAATGTGAATACCTACTATTATCATAAGGACAAAAAAGCTTTCATAGCTTGCCCATCCGTGACTGGACTGGCTAGGCGAGAAACAATTTTAGTCCTTTAACGTTGACGTTATGGTCTGAGAATGAGTAGCATCCCCAAAAAATATAAATATAAATCGCATAAGCAATTTTAAGGTACAATTAGTTTTTCAAGAGTTTGCTATCATTGACTACGTACTTCAAAATCAATTTAACCCCTTCCTTAGATAGGAAATCAACAGCCTCGGAACAGGACCGAAAATCGGAGACGAACTAGGCAACGAAAACGGACAATGAGTATTGGTACAAGGAACGTTCAATGAATCTCTAGAAAAATCAATGAAGTGATATCAGAAATTGAACATCGAAAAGGGCCCGGATCGTCTCCACAGAGACCAAAAGAAAGGACAGGGCTCGGATAATGTGAAAGAGTATGATCACTTCAGCGGAGTTCAAAAAGAATCGAGAGCAAAGAAATGAGTCTAGATTATTATACATAGAAAATAGAGAAAACATAATATAACATCATGGGAAACAATAATAAAACCAAACGTGTCTATTTTCAGAAAAAATAAGAATTTTGAGCATATATGAAGCGAACAGCGACAAGTCCGTAAGTATAAACAATTTCATCAGAAAGAAATACATAAATGCACATGAAAAAAACTGGATAACGAAAATCGATTATTGACTACACTAATGCACAGCAGAGATCAAACATAAAGTCCAGGATTTGAGAGCATAGGAGATCGACCTGTTGTGGTAGTGAACATTAATTGCTGCAAACAGAGATGTTTATCCCTGGAAGAAACATCGCAAGAAACAACGGAAAGGAGAAACAAGAAGAAAAAATTGAGCCTGAGAAATACATAATAACAGAGAAGTCAAAACTGCCAAAACCTTGAAAAGCATTTTCTTTTCAGCATATCAGAAAAAGTATATTGACAGTGCAGTATTTGAAGCCTTACACAAGTACGAGAAAAAAAACTGAAATAACAAAAAACCTTATTATTGGGATAAAGAAATCCAGAAAGACATAGCATAGCAAGGAAGAAATACCAACAGTACCTAAGTTCGAATAAAACATCAGACAGAGAAATATATAAAGATAAAGAAGCACAAGCAAGAGTACGGTAGCTTGCTTCAGGCACTGTCTACTATTACTTTCCAAAGAGTTTGCTGGTATTCTTCCCTTTTTAATTCAACCCTTGCGAGAATGAGTATATGCCCAATAAAATTTTAAATATAATAATTATTACTGTTAACGAATTTTGATTCCAATACACTACAAATGATATAGACGGAATTGGACATCTAATAAAAATAATAAATATTAAAAAAAATAACAAAACTAAATTTTTCTGTCTCACGAAAAACAGTATAAAATAAATTTTATTTGCTTTGCTTTGTGAGGTATAAGTTCTTAGAGATTCAGTTGTTTATTTCTTTGGCACATTTAACGACTAAGTTATGATGACGCAAACTGATGAGAAAAGTCATAAAACCTACAATAATATTTTTTATGTTTTATGTCCAGGAAGTGAAAGAACCAAACAACCAAACCGTTGTTTGGGTTAGTTAGTGACGTTGTACCGGGTGCAAATTGGCGATCAACGAATTGCAATTAATGATTCTAATAGGTAACTTGCATCATATCGCGTTATTTAAAATTTATTTTTATTTGTTATTAATGCCTGAATTCATCGGTGGTAATGGTAATAATGGGCCACTTTCACATTTTTCAAAAACATTTTTAAATTATTGTGTTAGCCATTCTAATAACATCTTTTACTTTTACGGTTATTTTTGAAAATGAAAGGATTCGAAAATCGAATTTTTGAACTGCTGCAAAAACGCGGGTTCGGAAAGTGACGTCACTTTCCGCAAAATGCAAGGATGTCGAATTTCGCATTAGTTAATTACACATTACCTACACCACTCACTGGGAACGCTGCTCCCCTGTTTCAAGAATGACGTAGGGGCTGGATTCTCGTCTAAGGGAGTAGAGCTCCTCGATAGAACGAATGTTCTGTCCTTGTCAACGTGATCGAAAAGTAAACGAGAATGATAAAGACGAAAAATTTGTTCTCTCGCGGAGCTCAACTCTCTGGAACCCAGGGCCTGTATTCTCGTAACCGGGGAACAGCGTTCCTAAGAGTCTTAGTCGCCCATATTGTTATTTCCGTAATACTGACAAAGACAGAGCAATTTGAAAAGTTATTTTGAATTTCCCGCAATTCGTCCTTGGCCTGTCAGAAATATAAAGCTATTTATTATTATGAAATTTGCCCTTTTTCGCTATTTTCCCAAATGTTTTTGATGTGCAAATGGCGGTATGAGGGTAAATCTCGGGAAATGGGACAGAAATGTGAAAGCGGAAGTGGCACCATAACCCATGCGCAGGAAATAGTGCGCGGCTACTTGAGCGCTTGCAGCCTAAGGTGGCATCGAGGGTGATCGCTGTGAATTTGTGCAATGAGTGAAGTAATCGACACCTATTGACGCTGCCAGTAGATTGGTAGATTTTTTTCAATGGAGATGGCGCGGAGGCATCCTCTACCACTGGAACCTTGTCAGATTTATCTGTCCTTAGAGTGCGTTCTATAGACCCGTCTTTTTTATTAGACTCCAGAGCCAGGATACTGGAGGGCTTTTCCTCTCCAAGCCCCGCAAACCTAGACTGCATTTCATTCTTATTGGCAAGATAGAGTATAGATGAACTAAAAACAAGATGTGGTAGAAACAATGTATTGAAGACAGCCACCTTCGAACCTGCCACCATAAGAACCTCTCACTATAAAATTGAAGATGAAAAATATTCTTGTAGAGAATTTCAAAGCGTAAATAATTTTTAAAATTATATAAAAAAGACCCTGAGATTTCTAGTTTGGAAGACCGAAAATAAGGACTCAACAGATCTCTTACACGAGTTGAAGGACTAAGTACACTCGATAATTGAAAGATGGAACCAAACATTATTTATTAAGGAGCACTCACAGGCGCTGAAAGAACAAAAAAAAGTCCGAGAATTTGGAAGATAGAACAAAGATTAACTGTGAACACCTCTCAAAAAGATATTGACAGATAGAAGATAAATTTAATTTTAAAACGGATTTCTAAATACCAAACCAAAAGAAATCCTACTTAGGGCACAACTCTTTATAGATTTTATTTTAAAAGATTTGTAGTTACTGTTTGTTATGTAAGTAATTAGTATTGGAATCCTGTTGCTTTGTCAATAATTTCTCTGGTATTTCGACAATAAAGCTTATTTTGAAATTGAAATTGAAATTCAACTTTTCGAAAGTAATCTTCAATCGATCCCGAAAATTGGTTGAAAATTCTATTCAATTTTAGGGACACTACTCCATTCCCGCTAAGCTGTTTGAACTTGAACAAGTCGATACGGAACTAACTGATTTTGGGAGGTTCTAGAATTGGTTCTGATTGAAAACAAAGTGATTTAATCAGTAACTTACCACAACTATATCCACTCCTTCGTTTCTTAGCAAAATAGCAGCTTGATTGGCTTGGTCCTGATATATTTCCCCGATGTCTTCGTTAGTCTGAAAAAAAACCCAAATTTTAATAGAAAGTGAATAATAAAGGATCGTGACTAACTAAGCTTGAGAGACAAGCGGAATTTATTGTTTATATTGTACTCGGAAGTCATGCCATTGTTAATAACTAATTTGTCGATTGTTATGTTTTTTTTTTCAGGTACCTACTACCGCTTTGAATATCAACTCGTATCTATTAATTCTTTCAGCAAGTTAGCTTTTTGATTAATTCCGGTTATTTTTTTCCGGTGAACTGATTTTTTTGGCTTTTAGCATTTTTGCTTTAAGTATTTTTGTTTGTTCTAGGCCGATGCTAAAAGTAATCAATCCCGGATGTTCGTCGTACAAATAAAATAGAGGCGATATATGTATAGTGCCCATATAGTGCACAAGCTGTGTACTTATTATTAACTTTAATTGTTAAACTTAAACCAACATAATAATATATGTTGAGTAAGCAGGTCACGTTGGCCCAGTTCTGTAATGTAACACAACTTTGAATTAATCTAATAGAGTACTTAGCAACGATAACTCGTCTTTCATTAAGTCCTCCGATGAATGATCCTGACGATGATTATTACTAAAGGGTTATGAAAATAACACATTACAGATAATTACGATTTTTTCACAGTATTTTCAATACTTAGATGCACTTTTCACTCCCTCTCGGGAAAAAAATCAAAAGTCGAAACAAATTTAAGCTACAATTGAAGGAAAGTGTAGCAACAAAGGCAAAAAACACATTTTTAAATAAAAAACTGACAAACTAACCACTACAATGATCATTGAAAATTATTTAAACAAAAATACTGAAAAAAAAGGTCTCACAAGTGAGATTCGTGAAGTAATCGCGGCGCGCAACGTGTTTTAAAACATCTCACAGAAATCGAAATATAATAATTTTACAATCCGTATGGCATAGTACAACAACAGCCAATAAACATAATAATAGCCTCTAGTTATAACATATTTTTGAAAAATCATATTTCTAGAGCTAGAGCAATATCTTTTGCATTAGGTGTTCTATAACGGATGATATCAATAAGACACTTTATGCTCAAATTATTTTCTCATCCTGAATAACTGCTTCATTTCATGTTAATAAAACCAATGTAGTATATGCTACCTATGTTCGTAGGTGATCTCCTCAAAAAGAGACATGGCTGATTGGGGAATCTCTTTCAGCCATACTTAATTTTTTTTTTCTTCATATTTTTGTATCACGAAGAGATTCTGGCTAACTTGCGTCCACACGTGCGAATTATTCATAAGCGTCACAGGCACAGGTTGGTGGAGGTTATAATGTTTTTCATCACAGAATTTCACCATTATTTTTTTGAGAATAAATTTCAAATTCATTTTTATTCACATCGCCCGTTTCAAACTACCTAGTCCTAACATATTTTTGCATAAGCAAGTGTATTTTACTTCCCTTCAAGATTTATGGAAGCGTGTGGGTCGTTACTTCGGAGGCGTAAGAATCCTCTTATTTAAAGGAAAATGGAGAAAAAGTACACAATAGATATTGCCTTTCGTTGCGAGAAAAAGGCTAAAATCAACAGTTACTAGCCTTCAAAAAAAAAAAATGTTAAATTATCAAAGTGTATAAATGTAGGTACAAAAAACCTTCCAAGTATCCGAAAATGAGAAGGAAGGAACCATCTATACCTAGATGGTTCCTACGAAACTTTTGTTACCACCACGAGAAAAAAATAGGTCAATAGTTTGAAGCAAAAAACAATTTGAATGTCCGTCCAGCAAAAATGGTTTTAATGCAGTAAGACAATAAGACGTGATGGGTGATTGCATGGTTTGAAATTCCTCAATCAGTCAGAGTTATTTTGTTAGACGACTTCAATGCCCGAGTCGGCAGAGAGACTACGCCTTCTAGAATGGCACCATTGGCATCGAGGGTATAGTCAAAAGTAGGTAATTCGAATGGAATACATGCACAAAGTACGACTTCGCCATCTCAAATACTCTTTTCCGTCGAGAAAAATGTGCCAACATCCAAGTTCAAAGCACTGGCAATTCATTAACTACGTTAGTGTGCGCGCCAAGGACCAAGGTGACGTGAAAATAACCACAGTCATAATCCATTCTGATGACTGCTGGACCGATCATAAAATGGTCCGATTTGTGATGACTATACAAGTATCACTCAAACGATGGAAGCAAACAAACGACCACAACGCAGGTTCAATATTGAGCGACTGATTGATGGAAACACCAAAAGAAACTTCCAGATCCTACTGAATGAGAAACTGAAACAGCCTGCTTATTATCCAGACGATATTGAGCAGCACTGGTCAATGCTTAAAACAGCTATGCTGACAGCCTACGAAGAAACAACGAACTTCATTACAAGGAGATATCAGGATTGGTTTCATGAGAACAATAAAGAAACTCGGAAGGTCTGATGAAGAAACAAACCTACATTCATGCAAAGACTGAAGGACAGAGAAGGTCAAGAATGCTAAAAACCAGTGGTGGACCACGAAGGTAATTGATATGAAACATTTAGCAGCCACTAACAACATCAGGATTTTTCAGCTCCACAAAAGCAGCCTACGTTCCCTTCAAAGGGTTGAAATTCCCTTAGATCTAGCAGCTACTCAAAAATCCCGCTTCTATTAAGTCCCGAAGGAAAAAACATTTGTAAAAACTCTTGAAAAGCGATTCCAACGTAGATGATGAGGTATTCAATAAAGTCCTCCAAAAACCAAATCAAAACCATCTGAGTGACGTTTCTTCCCATCAAGAGGTTGAAAAAGCTATCAACCAACTAAGGAATAATTGAGCGGCTGTATTAGACGGAGTCCCTGTGGAGCTTTACGAGGTAGGGGGCCGTGTGCTGGTCGAACATACACATAGAAGTTCATCACCAAAACATGGAACTCCGAGACAATTCTGACAGATTTGCGTGATACCTCCAAGTAAGACCTAACTGAGGGACAGCGCACATGATTCTTAGTACAAGAAAAATGCAAGAAAAATCGAGAGAGCAAAACAAACATTTCTATAAGGCATTTATAGACCTTGTGGAAGTGTTTGTCTCTATCGAGTACTGGCATTCCACGGCTGTCCACCTGAATTCATCAACATACTTCGTTTACTGCATGATACCATGAATGCTCCTGTCTTTCCCAACAACGGACCCGGAGAAGCCTTTGAAATCACCACCGGAACTCTAAGTAAATTTGAACAAGCATACGAAAAGATCCGTCTAGAACTCACGGATAAGACAAAAATTTATACCTACCAGCCTGCTCCAAAATACGAATGCACCAGATCCAGCTGTTATTATTATCAATGAAGCACCTCTAAAAAAATAGAATACTTTCCATACCACGGTAGTCAGAAGAGCTTATTTAGCTTTGAAAGAACTGACAGATAATGATGCTTATAATACTCGTTAGTGAGTGAATGCTTATGATGATGATTTTTAAATAGGTACTAAAATTATATTCTTTCAGTTAGGTAGCAACTTAGATATAAATCTGGTCAAAATGTTTATTTTTCATAAATGAGAAAAACTCGGAATGCAACCAACTATTTTGGTCGCGCGACCTGGCCATGCGACTTAGCCGCTATGCACAAAAGCCTTAAAGTCGTGAATGTCATTTCAACATTTTTATGAAGTGACAAAAATTTGAAGTGCTCTCGCACCTGATATCTTTCAATTTACCATAACTCGAAAATAGCTGGTTGGATTTCCAGGCGCACAACGTAACCAAATTTCAGACAATTTTACCGAAAGCCATTTTACATAAGATTAGTACGTAACATAGATATTTATCAAACACTGCCAATCGAGGTTTGTTTCACTTTTTGCCTTATTTTCAGATTTAATCCAACTTCTGGATGTCATAGGTCTTGGAATGTCCTCAAGTGCAGAACCACATACTCTTGAAAAACCATCTCCAATAATGTGTTCGTTAGTTCGTTGTCCTGTCTGTATACAATATCGTAGTTAAAACATTTCAGATGCCACCTAAGAAACACAAGTTCACTTTTTTTTCCTAATTTATGTATCTTTTTAGAACAGCTGGGAATCCATCTCGAGTAATGTACAAAGACAAGAAGCACCTTTTGCATTGATTTAGAACTTTGTGGTGCTGGAAGATTTTTTGCAGCTGCTGATTTGCTCAGGTTACTATAATAGATCTGACAAAATGTAGCCTAGGAAACGTCCTACAAAAAACAAGACCATTTCTTCGCACAAAAAGATGATCTGACAATGGAGTCGCAACCATCACACGACGTGGCCAACTTATAATTTGTTTGTTCCGACGACGAAGCATTTCAGTCGATCTTCTCTTGAGGTTATGTTACTGCAAGATTCTCAATAGTACCCCATACTGATAACTGAAGATTCGTATTCTACGAACAATTTAAAACTGTTTTTGAATACATTTTCCTATACCTACCTAAAGTTTACTATTTTTGAGATATCGATTTCCATGCCTAAGCTACAATAGAGCTTGGTAACTAATCTCGTGGTCACCTGTTATACAACGTCAAAAAACTAAAATCCAATAATTAAAAAACATAAATATAAATCTATTACATACAACTTACTGACTCAAAAACACTTATAATCAAAGTTCTCTAAAAAAGAACAAAGAAAAAATACATACAAAAAAAACCAAAAACAAAAAACCACAAGAGCAGAGCCCAACATTTTATATTTGTACTAGTTGACCCGGCGAACTTCGTACCGCCTCTGAATTATTAAATACGTATTAAATGTTGTGTTAACGTATCTAGTAGCTGAATTAAATTCAGTTTTTTTCGATGGTGAATTTGGCCTTGGTTGAAGAAAATTAATGCTTACTCTCTGGATCAGAAATCACCTAAAATTAAAATTTTACATCATCCCTTTTTAGGCACCTTGTGGGCATTATTCTTGTAAAGTGTACCACGAAATAAATAAACTCAGGCACAGGAATGTTCAAAGAATGTACAGAAAACAAAAAAAATTAACACAGGATCAAATGTAAACA